TTCTGGCACATTTGCAAAAAAGTGGCAAAACTCATTATGATTAATGTGCATAATACGTTTTAATACATGAAAACAAAGGTAAAAAGGAACACTGACAATGACTAACAATGACTTTTCAATTATCAACTGTAAAGTGTGGAACAGGATGTTTCTCTCATCTCTAACTTGTGATGTATGGAAAGTTTCCCCATGTTCGTCTGCTGGAGATGGTCTTTTAGTTTCAGTAATCAAGAAATTGCTGCAGACGACCCGAGAGGTCAAAATGCTGATTGTACGTTCAAGTAGTCTCTTGTGTCTTACACTAGTTAGGAGCAGTCCTTGCCTTGATTTCCCATCCTGGCCCTTTTTTAGCAAAGACAATCTACCCTTCTTTTCAGGAAAATAAAAAAAAGGGACAAAAAAGGTTGTTTTTTGTTAACACGCAAACAATTGACAGATACTGTCCTTTTTAAAAGTGAGGTCAGGCTCTTTCTAGCAGACACTTGACAACATCATTTTTCATTGGCATGAGTGAGACATGTTGGTACTTTATCAAATTGCGAGCTCTTTTTCATATATTTTTCTAGAAGTGTGGACCTTTCACACACTGGCCAGTAATTACATTTTTCCATGTTTTCTATGCCTATGGTAGAAGTCATGTTATGTTTGGTTTGGCTATCAATGAAGAAGGGAGAACTTGGTGTATTATATGCCACAATGATGTGCTATGTTATGTTGGTGTAACATCTAAAATTCCATCTGGTGAATTAAACAATTTCAATAACAATTTACTGTGTACCATTTTAAAAAATACTGAAGAACATCTAATCGGCACTGTTTCAAATAGCGTCTCTAGAATTAAAAGTAATGTGAGTGCGACTGATATGTTATGTTTGCTGTATATTGGCAAAGCTTGTTCCACAGCTTGGTTGCTATGGTACTGATTTTTAAGAACAAGGACCTTTTTTGCCAGCCAAATGGTAGGACTGTCTATTATACAACATGCCAACATGCTGCACTACATTCAGTTGAATCTGTTCCCAATCTGATCTTCAGGCTAATTCAAACACTGTTACATGCCACATGCATGACAGAGACGAATACCTAACTTCCTAAGTAACTACAATGTTATCTCATAACAACTCTTAAATCCCAGACATCTGGAGCAGAACCTCATTTCAATAACAGAACCGTTTGTTTCACAAACTCTCTCCATCACGCAGTTATCAGAGGATCTGAGGTGCAGCGTGTGTGGGCGATATTGCTCAAACAGAGCAGCTGTGGTGTTTAACAAACATCTAAAATGACTACGTATGGCCGGTCGTGTTTCTGTGGCTCGACTCTGAGGTGATCCAGTGCATAACGAGACCTGCCTTTCACAGACGACCGAAGGGGGTTATGAGAAAATGGTTATATGTGTGGTTCTCGATTTGACTCATCTGCACTTCAAGTCAAGATTTAAGAACTGCTGAGGTGTGAGAAAAGTGCGGCTTCTTTATTTTAGCTCTTAGTCAAAAAGGTTTTCTGTGGGGATGAGGACACATGTCCCATAAAGCCGCCAGGCAAATTTGAGGGGTCATGTGAGTAAAGGGGAGCGGGGGGGGCTTCACTTCTGATTAAGAAGTTTATCTTTGTGTCACCATTGTTTTAATGCCCAGATCCACAACCTTCGCAAGTCAACAAGAAATTCAAAAAACATTTGAATTTATTTACAGCTTGGTCTTTCTAGAGAGGAAACTGACATCATGGTATATAAACATCCTATAAAATATGTCAGAAAAATAGCCGAACTCGGATGTGTTTGGCTAACAATTTTTGTACTGAGAAATCTTCACACATGTTGTATCAGAAATCTGACTCTAAACACATTACTTTATACACTCTTTGAACTCATCTTGCACTGTTGATAGTTTGATATTGAGACATTTAAATTTGGTTTAATGGAGTCATAGAGAGAAATTCTCCATCACCTGATGTTTCACAATGATTCACGTGGAGAATTATAAGCAGAGAAGAACAACTTCAGACTGTTGCATGAAGGTGCAGCAACAAGTTTGTACGTTATTTGTTAGCTCCATCACTAAAACAGGAAATTGGTTATGCTTGGCCACCGCACGCAGCAACTAATGGTTTTCAAAGTTTACATCGCAGGTACCTTGGATTACGTCAATATCTACAAGTGTGAAACCACAGTGCTGCTTGCCACACGGCACGGCCCTGAGGATATATTTTGTTATGTTCTGCTTGTTTACTACACTATTTGGTGCATGTGCACAAGGACTGTAAAACTATTCCAATAAATAATTAATTGCTGTTTGTTCTTTATAAAAGGGATTTCCACCAATTCATTGTCATTATTATTATATTTTTTTTGAAATGCCATAATCCTGTAATGATTATGGTATTTTAGTTAACACCGTGCAAAAAAGGTACTAAATGTAATCAGAGTGAAAGCATCTGGACCATTCAGTGAGGAATTGATAAATGAAGTGCTGTACAGTCAGCAGAAAAAAAGAAACCTTAACTGATTCTGAAGACAAAGCGAAACTCGTTTCTTGTCAAAACCGCCCACATTTCCTGCCGTTTGTTTCTCTGTTGCGCCATCAAAGTTGCAACTGGAAGGTTTTGAGTGAATGCGGCAGCTTTGGTGCATTTAGAGTTCACAGCATGTAGTTGAGTTAGGTTTAACACTGGTCACCTAAAATCAACATTTAGCTGCGCGGATAATAAAGTCTTACAGATAATAGAAATACTACTCCTAACAGGAAGTAGTTGGGTTGGTCGGTTTCTCTTGTATTAGCATTGCCCTGATGTCCACAGTCATATGCTCTGCTGTGGTCTTAAACAGTCTGATCATTCTTGAAAATCCTCAAATGTGGTGGACTTAAAACAATTCAAGAGTAATGCAATAGCTTTCCTAACACTATAAAAGTATTTTTGCTTGATGGCAGTTATTGCCAAAAAGGTTATAAAAGGTTATAACAACAAGATCAATTTAATGGCCGCTTGTATTTTTACATTATGCATTATGGGTTAGATGTGTAACTATTTTCTCACAATATCTGAAATCATATGTGCTGTTTTTTTTTTTTCCTCTGGTCACATAAAATATAAAAATTTCTTAAATCATCAACAATACTGAGGTGTGTCAAAAGCAGTACAAATTCATGAGACCTATTTTACTGCCCAGTGCATAGATGTTGCATGCATTAACTACTCTTGTAATGGAAATGTCCAGGTTTGACCAGTCTAAATGTGTTTCTCCTACTCAATCTAAAGTGGTCCTTTTTGCAAGTTTTCCAGTTCTCAGAAATAGAAATAAAAGCTTCCATGAATCCCAAATTGTTTTAAATAACCTCTGTACCCTGTTCAGATGTCACGTAGTGCAGTTTGAACCACACAGTTCAGGTTTAATGGGGGTATTTCACATTTTAAACTAGGGACAACCAATGGCAGTGCAGATGCCTTGGAAACAGTGATAAAGTTCTTTAGTTTAGTGCCAAATTGGAAGCAGAAATTGAGAGACAAACTTTAGTGTCATTAGCTGGTTAAAGTGTGTGTCAGCATTTTCCTACATTACTTGCATATGCACAGCACAGTATGCAACCACCACCCACTGACTAGACATGCTAAAAAGGAACAGAAAACCTGTTTAGAAAAACTGGCTGATGACATTTAACTTCTTTTGAGCGCTCATGACACCCACAAGCTATGCGTCCCTGAACACTTACGTTTTCCGTCAATATTAATTAAAGTCTAGTGACACAATGTTTTTGGCTCTTAATGCTGCTCAACAGTTAGAATCAACACATTTAGAAATCTGATAAATCCAAGCCAGTGTGTAAAAAAATGTATGGACTTGGACAGATATGTGTTGCATGTGTTTAGATTTAGACATGTTTTTATTATTGTAATCCACTAAATCAATCAACGTAAAGTTATGTAAATTAAAATGGTCAGTGTTTCACAGGATCACATCGAAAACCACAACCATAAATTGCCCCTTTTTCATGACCGTTGGCCTCCTGACTTCAACTTGGGGATGAGGAATAGGATAAAAGGTGCCAACAGGAGCGTCAAAGTGATGCTGCCCCCTTGCAGTATTTATGACAGAATTACTACAGACAATAAAGGTCTAATGGTCGAGTGCGCTCGATTTATATTTTTGTAAAATAAGGGAGATCTCATTGTCACAATACTGTTTTTGTAAGCACAAAGCTCAGGAACAGAGATTACACTACGCACAGAAAACACACACTCAGATTCATATAGGATGATATTCATTTATGTACACAAAAGGCACAGAGCCAAGACGGTGCGGCTGCACCCAAACTCCCTCTTATCTGACACTGCATTAAGAATGTATGACTGTGATTTTCGTATAATGTGTGTCATATCACAAAGTGGCAGGTTTTCCAATTGTCCAATAATGATCTATTTGCCAATTCAATGCCACCGTAGAAGAAACGGCAGGCAGGCGTTAAATGAATAAAACATCGAATGCGAGGATCGTGACAGTTTCATTTCAATCTCTTCTAGACTTCTTTCATGAAGTCTCTAAGAAGACGTGTTTGCAATTGGGGTAAAATCAGCACTTGGACGGTTGCCTGAGTTTGTATGCGCATTGGATTTTTTTTTCTTTTTTTTTTTCCCTGTACTCTTTATCTCACACTAGACGCCTACGATGCACTACTTTCACAAGCAAAAGCAAACCGTCTCCTTGCATCTGCTCCTCTGTTCGTTGAGATAGTTTACTGGCAATATCCATGCTGGCTGGTGCACACTGTATCCATCCATGGTTAATTAGCTAATGCCACTGGGGCTAAATATAAATACGGGAAACAAAACATGTGACCCCTCTAAAGTGTGGATAAAAAGTGCAGAAGAGAAAGTTGGGGGTGTTTCTCTGTCTTTACGATAGCTATTATAAAGTCTTCAACAAAAGGTGTGATCGTCTAATTGGAGGAGACGACAGAAGATGAAAATATGTCCATGGGGAAATGAAATGACATGTGTCAAGCTCACTTTTTGAACTTTTTTTCTTTATTATGCAGGTCTGAAATAAAAGAAGCATTATGACAGAAAGTGATGCTGCTGGCAAGGAAAGAAAAAAAAAAAGCAGCATCCAAAATATATAAAAAAAAATAACTAAATAATCATCCTTGTGATCGTCATCATCATTATTTATCAAACCAAAGCAGAGAATAATAAAATAAGGATAAAAATACACCTCCATTGTAAGAAGCAAAATTGATCTCATTTCTTTTATAAATAAGAAAACCTGTCAAACAGCTGATGGGTAACTAGCAAAAAAAAAAAAAAAAAAAGGAACAATGTAGGAATAACCATTTCAAATATTTAACATTACTTGTTTTACAAATAATATAACTACAGTTGGCAGTTTTTTTTGTTTGTTTTGTATTTTTTTACACAACTTAAAATGTTATTGTGTTGCAGCGACTAGAACTGAAATTCTGCTACACAAAAGGAGATAAAAACGAGATGTCTTTGTCAGCAAAATGCATTTTCCGTTAATCACACGAGTTAAAAACACAACCAAACACGAACCAGAAACTTATAAAAATTACTTGTGATGTGTATGTTCACGTTGCAGGTCTCCCCCTTCCCCCCCTCCTGAGTGGTGAGGAGACAACATGGATATATTGGTCAGATAGCTAAACAAAAGAAGGGAGGGGTGGGCATTTTGAGGCATTAATCCCACCCCCTACTTCCCTATCTGAAATTTTACATCTCATTTTATCTCACAGCATTTCTTTTTCCATCTCTGTGCTCTCCGTCTCTCACCTTGCTCTTTCTGTTTAATGGTCTGCAGGACATATATTGTATAATCGGCTTTAGACTGAATTTTGTCTGAATAAGACAACAACACACGAGTGAGCACAGATTTAATGCGAGAGTGAAAGTGTGAAATACTCCTCCGAAATCCAGCTGCACGGGATTGTTAAATTCACAGGAAAGACTCAAACACCGAGAGAGTCACACTTACTAGTCCTCTGCTTGCACACACTCATACCACGCCATGAATGGGGTACATTCTAACGTCCTGACGCACTCACACACACACACGCATTAACATACATGTACTTTTAGAGGAACAAATCTATTTGGACTTTTAATTCCCAATTTGATTCCACAAAAGTGATATTTACAATCACACTGTGACAGCTCAGTAGACCTCTACAGGTCTTTATTAATAATAAAAAAGATTTGCTTTTGTTTTTCTGTCTCATTCCCCACCAAGCCTTTAATCTTCTGGCCCGTAAGCACAGCTACCATAACATCAAGGCCTATGCTCAACATACTAGGAGTTAATATTTCTCTATGATACAGGGCCTACTAGAAAAAAATGCAAAAAAAAAAAAAAAAAGAGAGAGAGAGAAACAAAATAGCCAGCAAGAAATAAATAAGACAGAAACACCAACAAAAGCAAAGAAAACTACAAAAATAAGGAGGAACACTTATTTTTTTCTACTTAAAGCTGAATGGGATCCCTAAGGGGTCTTTTTGATGGTGACACACAAGAGGAGCACTCCACAGCCCAGATCAGAGAGGGCTCAGACATATAACTGAGGAGGCATGGAGGGAGGAAAAGGAGGAGGATGAGGAGAAGGAGGAGGATGACTAGGAAGAAGAGGAGGAGGAGGAAGAGAAGGAAAATGGGGGAGGGACTTTATAAGTGCTTGGCAAATTTAAACAGCAAGAAGACTGTTAATACAATAAGTGGTACAGACAGTAGTCATCTAGTCAAAAAACTGGTCACAAACTCTAGAAACTGCAAGAAATAATAATTACATTAACAATGAAAAATAAACAGGTCGATGATAACAGTTTCAGGAATCTGAATGTGTTTGTGTGTGGCTGTATGTAAAGTGTACACATGATGTAAGAGGAAGGAGGTCGGGGCTGGGTGAGGAGAACAGAGCGGGATGAGAATAGACTCCTCGGTGTCGTCATTTGTCAGCAGAGGAAAATCTTCAGTTTCAGGTGAGGTAGAGGGGCTTGTCCCTGCCTATCATGCTTCCACTGTTAACATAAGAACAAAAGAAGGAAGAAGATCAATTAAACACACAAAAAATTGCGGACTTCATTAACAAAAATAAAACATCAAAAGAATGTAAAAATATGTTTGTGTCTCGTTATCATGGACTTGGTTGTTCTACTTTTTGGTTAAGTTGAAGCTTTAAGATGAAAAAAAAAAAAAAATCAGATTTCATGAGAATAAGAAAGTATGGATTTTAAATTGGCTATGAAGAAGCAGAGCTTCAAACCCTGTCAAAGTACAAATGCTGAGGTTATAAATATTTCTTTATATTAGTGTTTAGTTTTTCTTTTGTCTTATAAGTTACAATATCATCAATTTAGTTCAGTAATTCAATTCAAAAAGTGAAACATGTCACACTTATACTGCAATCCCCTGGGTTTCCTTGGAGAGAAAACTTTTTAAACCAATTGAATCATCAGCTAAACTTAATGCACTGTTTGATAGCTAGGATCAATAAACCCAGTGATAGAAAGGTCAACAGGTGCTTTTGGCAGTTGGAGAACAGGCCAAGTGTTGTTGAAAATGAAATAATCTCTATAAGTCTTGTTAGAAAAGAAAAGCTGGAAGTCGTGATTATTTTTTTTTTTTCCTGGCAGAGCTCTGGTTTCAAGACTGGACACGGAAACACTTGTGGCCGACGTCTTGGATGTGTCTGTGTGTGGCGACTCTTGAAGACCTGACTGCTGTTCAAATCCTTGAACAGGCTTTGCTTCTCAATCCTCAAACAGCTCGGGGCTCGCTCTGGCTGTTTGCACCTCCTTCTACAATACTTTTTCGTTCTTTCTATTAAAATCATTCTTCATCATCCTTTATGAAGTTCCAGGTTCTTTGAGAATTTCACCTATTTCACCTTATCCTCTTTGTGGAGAGTGTAAAGTCAGTTCCATGTGTAGTTCAACTCCAGTCATCAGCACTTGGAGCCTGAATTAGCACATTACCTACTTCTACAATCTACAAATTACTCAATTATTTGATTCTGGTTTTTGAGGCGGATGCAGCTCTAAGTGTTGAATGTCTCTCTTATTTGCTTTTATGGAACATTCTAATTTTCTGAAAAACTAAACTTTATGTTTTCATTAAGCTGTAAGCAGTAGTTCACAGTGTGTAACGAGTCTATATAATATGAAAGTTTTCACTTTTTGAGTTGAATTATTGCGTTACCTTTTCAATAATGTTCTTAGTTATTGCAATGTATCTATATTTTTAACAGACTTGGTTTTACAACTTGTCCTATAGTCCAATAATCTGACACAAAACATGAATCAACTTAAATGTTTCCAATAAACAATGTTAAGCCGCAGTATAAAACATGTTTGTGAAGTGGATCGTTGTAAGACTATAACTTTGATCAATTACCGTGTATACACTGACCTGCAGTGGTTGCCGCACTCCCGATTGCAGTATTCTCCATCCCACTCGTGGGTCTGAGCCACTCCAGGACCGGGCCCAGAGCCAGGAGCTCCTGGTGACTGGGAACCCCCAATGCTCTTCTGGTACTCTGACTGGAGGTGGGAAAAACCCTAAAGGAGATAAATCAGGAAAAAATAAGCAAAACCCCTGAGCAGAAGCCTCATTACACTCTCATCATCCGATTTGTCTCAGTTTATTTCTGTACCTGCTGCCCTGGAGGTGGAGAGTGAAGAGAGGCCTGTAGCCCCATCTGGTGGGAGATGATTGGCTGGGACTGGACCTGCTGCATGCGGATGGGCTGGTTGAGGAGCGAGCTCTGGTGCAGGGAGAGCTGCTGGTGGGGGTGAAGCGGCGGGCTGATCTGGAAGGAGGAAGGTGGGGAGGCACTAATGCTGGGCAGCATTGGGGATTGGCTGAGGGTCTGTGACAGAGCGTGGCGTGGGGCGTGGCCTGCGTAGCTCTGCAGGTCGGTTAGAGGGAAGGCCCCGGGTCCCAGGTATGGCGATGACGACTGTGGGGCAGGTGGCACACTGTACAGCGGGTTGGTTGGCATCATATGAGAGGCCTGGCTGGTTTGGGCAGTTTTATTCTCCCCGGGGTCGTTATACGTCTAAAAGCAAAACAGGACAAATCAAAACAGTAATTAATCTCACTGTAAAAAAAAAAAAAAAAAAAAAAAAAAAGGTTAAAAAATTAAAAAAATTTTTTTTTTTTAAAAATTTTTTTTTTT